CCCCCCCCCCCGCCCTCATACACACACACACTTTAAAATACCTTAGTAAAATAAAAAGTTAACTACCCTATGTTATTTCCCAACATTTTGTTGGAAATTTTACTAGATCATGAACCCCAGAAAGCCAACATCCATTAATCTGGAGAACCTACCCGTCTTTGTACTCAATTATACACAGATGTTAAACATCTGAATTCTGTCTTCCATAGTTTTCAGCTAATTTTTTTAATGCTCCTAAAATAATTTTGTGGCTGTTTTCAAAAGCAAGAATGTTAAGTAGGAAGATTTGACATTTGGCATAGAAGAAATCATGTGCCTAAAATAGAGGTGTAAACAACTAAGAGATCATATTTCTATTAATGTGTTAGTCTTGTTTCTATATAGTTTATGTTTGCAAATATTTCTTGATCAGAAAAACTATTTTTTAAAGGGTATATTAATAGTGGGGAAATTTTATTTTCTTCTGTGAAGTGCTTCTTAGTGTAAAAGTAAGGAGGCTTATGGCATAAATGTCTCTTTTCAACCTACATTTCGATATCCATTGGTTATTAAGAGGGGTTTTTTTGTGTGTGTGTGTATTGTGCAGCATTCATCGGTTTTGTCTTATGACAGGTTCAGAAGAACTCAGTCCTGTTTTGAAAACTTTGGAAAGGAGTGCTGCTAGGCAAATGCCTTCCAAAAGTCTAGAAGACATTTCATCAGATTCATCAAGTGAGAATAAAGTTTGCCCCACTGTTTATGTCCTGTCTAAGCTTTAAAATGCTTATGTGCTCTTCTGTGGCCTCACTGCCTGCTGTTGTGCACTGAAACCCCAAATGGGGGTTAACAGATGAGAATAATCTTTCCCAAGTGCGCTGAAGAGGCTTGCCCTAAAGTGGCTGGAACTTTGCTTTTAAAATTAAGCACGAGGTTTGGTTACTAGAACACTAAGTTTCTCTAAATCAAAGAATCCTAGTTTGAGTGTTTACTCAAGTACAATGAGTTTTAACAGATTGTGGTAACAAGTAGTACCAGTGGAACTAGTAGCAATAGCTAACATTTATTGAGTATCATATGCCAAAACTTGGTTACGAGCTTTACATGTCTTATCTCATTTAGCCAGCACAAACAACCCTGTGAGAGATGAATTGTTATCCCCATTTTACAGATGAGGAAAATGAGGCTCAGAGAGGTAAAATAACTTGCACATAGCAGACCTTGGACTCAAAATTAAAAGACTACTGTCAAGAGCGTTAATGAAATGGACATGTTATGTATGAGGCGGTTGGCTGTCTGATGAATTTCACATGATATGATGGAGTTTAATTAGTCCCTGGCTTCAAGGACATTCCTTTCTTTTTTATCTCTTCTTTTCTGTTCACACATTTCTTTTGGATACTGGAACTATAAGCCCAAAGGCTACCTTACCTGCAACACTTTAGGGGCACCATTCCTCACTGATTGCTTCTTTAATTGGTGAAGAATTTCTTGAGTACTAACAGAAAACAATGTATATTGAGACTTTGGGTCAGACAAACGGACTTAGAAACCATGACTTCTCGGGGTTTTGTTTTTACTGTTTTTAAGCTAAGATGCATCCCCTTGCATGAGAAAAATTAAGTGAAAGTTAACCCCTGCCAAACTCATATAATTGATAATTGACCATTGTCATGTTTAGGATATTTTTTATGCATCTCAATTTGATACTAAAAAGTCAGAGGTTAAAAAGGAAAAGAAAAAAGAAAGCCACTTTATCAACCAATTCCTAAAATTCAGGAATTCCCAGAGCTCTAAAGACAGTATTTCTGATTTGGAATGCAGTCCTAGTCCTAACCCTCTCAAGGATCTTGGAGTCTGAGGATTGGAAGGGACCTTGAAGGTCACCCATTTCAACCTCCCCTCAATGCAGAAATTCCCTCTAAAGCCTTTTCAACAGGTGGCCAGCCCCACATCCGCCTGAATGCTTTCAGAGAAGGCGAGTCCAGTCTTTTGTTGGACAGCACTGATTGTTCTTCCTTATGTTGGGGTTGGGCCCTGAGGGAAAAAAACACTCGACAACAATTGTCCGGTTTAGCAAACCTCTTGCCTGTAAAGCATGAGGCTATTTCCATGGTGCAGCCTTAAACTACTCAGGAATGTATAGGGTTAAAAAAAAAATCACCATCAGCTGACGGGTATTCCTGCACGCTCCCTTCCAAATACCGATACCCACTCTCACAGTAGCCTGCCAAGATTCCACTTAGCAGCTGGTCCCCAGTTAGATCTCTTCAGTTGACTTCCCAAGCAAGCCTCCCAGAGGCATATGCAAACGATGATGCACACACACAAATATTTGTTAATGACCATGGGTTTGGGAAGGTGTTAGTCATGGCTAGCATCTTACCCTTTTCAGAAGAATAGAGAGGCTGTTGCAGCCCCGTGCTTTCTCCTGCTGCCAGGCGATCGCTTGCTCTGAGCTAACCCTCTAACCCTTGGGAGTCAGTGTGCAGCAGTGTGCTGATGTGAGCTGCATCGGGACTGAAATGGGAGCTCCGGCTGTGGCACTGGCTCAAGTAGCTAATCTAAAGAGAAAGTATTTGGGGGAAGACATCTTGGTTGCACCTCTCACTGCATCTTGACTAATTGCTTCCAACTCCGGGGGCTTCCAGGGACAATCTCATTGTTCTTTTCTCTCCAAGGGTCAGCCATGTTAACCATTTGTTAATTTCTCCTGAACAGATCAAGCAAAAGTAAATAATCTGCCAGAAGAATTAGTACGTAGTGCTGAAGATGGTAAATATCTTTATGTATTTGCATGTCTGTCTGTGTGTTAAGTTCTGGGGTGATTTGGGCAGTCACTGGGACGCAGCTGTTGGATAAATAGAAGAACGTCATTTACCACTATGTGGTGAATAGTGCCTATGTTATCATAAAATGGTTCTTACTTGGTGCATTTAATACTGTTTGTATTCTTAAGGCTTCTGCTGGTGATACTGTTGTGAGGATCTCATCAGAGACCCTTGGGAAGCAAGGGTTTCTATAAATAGGAAATTGTATTTCTGTGGGTATGAGCTGATTTTTGCGACTCTGACTTGCAGAACTCCTTGTGAAGGCAGAGAGAGTGAAGTGGGTTCCTGGGATAAGTTACTCCTGTGTTTGAATCTCAAGTCTCAGCATTTAGATCTCTCTGGGCACGTGTGATAAAGCCTTAAGTTCAAAGGAAAGGGTCCCAGAACAAGGGTGGGGGGAATCCTGCCTCTGCCTATATAAATAACTAAATATAGACTGAGGGTGAAATTAATTGATTCTGAATGTTAAGGAGCCAGAAAATCTTGAAGCTTGACAATGGATTAGGTATTACTTGGTTCTGTTATAAAATGAACAGGGTAATAGTGCCTTGGTGGGAGGAGGGATGGAAATGAGTCTGATTTTTATAGTTCAGAATTTATGCAAATTTATATTTGTTAAATTTTTTGCTAAATTGCCTTTATTGTAATCATAAAAAGGTATACTCTCTGAGCTTTCCCATGTAAAATGCAGCAATAGAGCTCCTCTAAGGTCATGCCTTACTTTTATGTAATAGTTTTTGTCTTTCTCATTTTGTATGTACAACAATCTCATTGAAGTAGGTGCGACAGGGATTTTTATCTTCATTTTGCAGATAGAAAAGTCACCTAATTTCTCTGAGCTTTTCTTAGTCTGTTAGCTGGAGGGCAGGAATAGAATCTCAGCTTCATTACTCCTACTCCAGGGATCCTTTTCATTTTTCATACTGTGTTTTAGTGAATTAAAGAAAAGATGCTACATATCTCCTATGCTGGATCTTAGATTTTTGGCTGACCTCAAAGAGGCTAATGAAGAGTTATACTGGGGAATGGGTGAAAGCAAGCAGAAAACCTGTTAGGTGTATTGTGCAGTCTCAGTTGTGAAACTGACATTTGAGCTTTACTTTCATGTTTCTTTAATCCTTCTGGTAAAATGGTATTTATTCTCAATGTTGCTCTTCTGAGTAGATCAAAAAGCAGATCAGGAACCAGATACAAATGAATGCATACCAGGAAGTGAGTAGTAGGATCTTTTTTTACAAATGCCTAAATGTTCCACGCTATGTGGCGTTAAATATACTGAAATAACTAACCCCATTAATAATGCAGCACTTATTATGGGTACTAAACTCCTGCAGCTTGCAAAACTATTTCATTCTGTTAAGGGTTTTATTAAAAATATTTGACTACTGTTTGTGTTGAAAGAATAATTTGTGGTTCCACTGAGAGTTATATATTTTAATATATATACATGTTATTGCTGAGTGTTATTGTACTTTTGTCAGTCTCTCTGCTCTTTGAGTCTGCTTAAAATCAAATTGGCACCTTCTAATTTCATTTGGCTTTTAAGTTGCAGTATAGTCTTAAGAATAGGATCTCTTGTGCCTTCTAGACGATTGTAGACGTGAAGCAATTTATAACTTATTTGGATCTAAGAAAGAACTGTATTTTGACAGTCTGTAGAATGGTTGTATGTGCCTCTATAGATAACTATAAATGCAAATTTTATTACGTCCAGAGTTTAAACTCTGAGGTTTAAAACTGGACTCAAATAGTATGTATTCAATGTATAAAGCAAGTGAACATCTGGATCTAAAAAATAAATGTGTACTTGTGGTGACTAATTAACGTCGACCACCAAGCAAAGATAATGTTCGTTTACTCTTTTCTATTAAATCTTAAGATAACTCTACTTAGCTATGACTACTGTCTTAAGGACAAATAATCCATTAAAAGTGTGCTATGGGGCTAGCAAAGTATGCAGATGTGTATGTTTGACTTAGCTGCCCAGTTTCAGTCAGTTTTATCAACCTGGGCACAGAAGACAGGAAAATGATAATACATATGCCTGCCCTCGGGTCCACAATATTTTTCCTTTTTTTTTCCTGGGGGAGCAGCTGGCTGGTTGAGGAGTCCACAATATTTTTAATAATAATTTTCCAGCTGTCTTTGGATGTGCTAATAGGCCTTAATGAGGAAGGAAGCTAAATAAAGGAGCCATGAGATAGAGAAACAATGTGCTGATGCTAGAAGTCAGTAACATCTAGTGTGAAATATGAAACTTTGCTCATGAGGTTCTCCTGACAGCAGTGAAGGTGCTGAGCTTTGGCACATGACTTGACAAATTCTTAAGAACTGCCTAGGAAAGAAGACAGTCCAGGCTCTGGCCCTTGTGAGTATGTGCTCTCTGTCTGGCTGCTGCAGAGGAAACAAGACTTCTGTCCTTAAGCGGTGCTGGGTAAAGAGACTTTTTCAGTTGCTTTTGAGCTGGTATATACTTAAGTTGGGGCATCTTATTTTATCTTGCTGTGTTTTGTTCAACATTTAACCTGAGGAGTGAAAGCAAAACATACATAGACATATATGCTTATGTATCTTTATCTTCATCCATGATCTCTTAATTGGCTTAGTATTGGTCAAGGCAAAAAGGCTAATCATTTACTGATCTCTGAGTAATTTAATTTTTCCATTTTTAGTGATATTTTCAAAAAAACTCTTCGTGCCCTTTCACTAGTAAAGAGTATATTATTACCACAAGACAAAATCAAATACAGGATCAAAACATAAATAACTAAAGCCAAAAATGTAAAATTCACTACATTTGAGTAGTGGGTAAATGGAATTTGACCCACATACCATCATCCAACAAATCTACTTTCAAAATAATAGGTAGCAATGTTATAACAAAAAGATTTTTGCATTCTCATTGGGCAATACTATGGGACCTAGTCTTACACTGCTACCAATATAACACACCCCAATACACAATACATACACACACGCATGCACTCACACACACAATTGTTTAATGAGAAGTGATTAGAGTAGGTATTCTAGTGAGACACCATAAATCTATTTTGATGTACAATGAACTTTTGTGAGCCTAAGGCTGATGAGAACTGCTATGTGAACAAGCGTATATTTAGTATTTGTACCTCAATTTTCACTTTTCCTTTGTTAGGTTTCTTTTAACTAAAGATGAATTTAGCTAATGGTTAGGATTGAATTTGAGTCTTTCAAGTTATATATACAAATATAATTTGACATTTTATTTTCCTAATATCTCTTTTAATGATAAAGCCAATCCAATATGTTTGTATCATTTTCACACTATAAAGATTCTCTATCAGATAATATGTATTTGTTTAGAAAATACTTATATAGAGCCTACTATGTGCCTGGCAGTGTTCTAAGTGCCTTGAAAAATATTAACTCATTCATTGTAAGAGCTGAGGTTCACCATAAGAAAAGCTAAGACATTGTGATACTTAAAGAAGAAAATAATTTTCAAAATTGAGATATGAAAATTAGGATTAGAATTTATCCTGTAATTGTGCCTTCTACACATATCTTTACTATATCAGAAAAAAGGCATATTTAATAAGATAATAAGGCATATGTTATTAAATATGATTTCATAAGAATTAATTATATTAAATTCTTAGATTATCCTAACTTGAACCATTCAAAATTGGCCTTGGGATATTGAAAATTCTCTGAGTCAACAGGTTTCTAAATAATTTCTATTTTCAAAAAATAGTAAATTTTTAATTATACTCTTTCATAATTTTGAGTGATAAACACTATCAGAAAAGTAATCCCCATGATCATTAAGTAGACAAACCTGCTCTTAGACCCTCAGTAGCCAGGATACTTTTATTATCAAGTTGTGTGCAAAGATCCTTACTGTCCAGATGAAATAGTTTTTCAGCCTGCAGCATGTTTGTAATATATGTATCTTGAGGAGATGAACCAATAAATTATACACCTCATGGTTCAAAGCTCTGATGTCAACCAATAAGTTAAAACCAATTGACATTGACAGTATTCTTTAATATAATTCAAGTCTAGTTCCATTTCAGTAAAAACTAGTATTTTTAAAATTAATTTTTATTCTTTATTTGGTTCAACTCCTTGCTAGTTCTTTCTCTATATAATGTATAAAAACTGCATGTTACTTACCTCATGATCCTGTGCATGTGAACTACTGTGCCTTTGACCTTTTTACAAAAATGTATCTGTTCATAGAGGAGAGAAAAGTGTGTTTTCAACTTATGCCTAATGTTGTTTGACAATTCTAAGAATAACTTTGCAATGGAAATGCTGCTGTTTAGTTTCCACAGTGCCTTCACAACCTGATAATCAGTTTTCCCACCCCGACAAACTCAAAAGGATGAGCAAGTCTGTTCCAGCATTTCTCCAAGATGAGGCAAGTTTGTCTTTTGTACCTTGATAAAAATGGAGCCCGATAGGTGGATTTGCTATGCCAAGGTTTGTGAGTTTGTATTCCACTGCAGCAGAGACTAAAGAGGTCAGCAGGATTGATCCTTGCCTTCCAAGTCAGTAGAGGTGGTGGTGTTGATCCTGGAATGGGGCAAACTGCATCTCACTTCACTCAAACAGTAACTCTTTTTGGTCAGTGAAGTCAAATTGCATAGATTTGGGAATGTGGCTTTTGTTTCAAAGTAGGTACAAAATAAGAAATCCAGGCAGAAATATGTTGACATGAATAAACTACTCCTTTGTAATTTAGAGTAGAGTTGATTTGTGAAAGCTTACTCTAGGTAGCATGACTAGCTTGAAAGCATTTGTTAAAATAATAAAGTAAAAATGACACAGCAAACTTTAAGGAGTATCTACTGGGTGCCAAGCACTTTGTATATATTATCTCATTTAACCCTCTAACAACCCTGGGGGGTAGGCACCATCATTATCCCTAGATATTATAGGTGAGCAAACTGAAACTAAGAGAAATGAAGTAACCTCACATGGTTAGAAAGGATTGAATCAGCACTGGAGCCCAGATCCAACTGCCATGCTGTCTCAAGTATACCATATCGTCTTAAGGAAAAACATGACTATTATATACTATTCATTGAGTACCTAATATATGCCAGGCAGTTAATATTCATTCTGGATATCCAACTCTTACTAACTATACATGATAGGTACTATTTTCTCCATTTTGTAAAAGAATAAAAGTTACTGAACGCTTTTGAGAAGAAGAGTTCAGTAACTTTCCCCAAATCCAACAGCTACTAAAAAGTACTTCTAGGACTTTATCGTAGGTCCTTTGATTTAATTAAGATCCCGTGTTCTTGCAGTCCGTAGTTAAGAGCCTGAGTTTTGGAGTCAGACATTCCCAGTCCTGGCTGTGATACTAATTTTCTGTGTGATCATGGACAAATTCTTTAGCTTCCCTGAATCTGGTTTCCTAGCACCTACCACATTCAGTTGTGGAGAATCAGTGGATAATACTGGGAAAACACATAGCATAGTGCTTGGCACATAGTAAGTATCCAGTAAATGTTAGCTGCTACTATTTGTGGTTTTGGTACAATCTCTGATGGTGAAATAAAAGGCTTCATCCCCAAGCATTTGCTTAGTAGATGGAATGTGAGGAAAGTTCTGGGCAACACATAAATTACGTTCCTCCCCATTTTCCTGGACACCCTTCTGTCCATTCTTGGGCCTTAGATGAACTGTATCTGCAAATATTCAGCCCTTGCATATGTTTAAGGGCCTACATTATAGTTTTCTTTGCAAAGATCATTCCTTCTTTGGAACTAAATCATTAGGTGGGTGCCAATGGTAGGCACCCCATG